CAATTTTGCATCATTTCCTCCCTAACATTTTGGGTTTGTGAATTTAAAGCAAAAAGCACTTACCTACAAATAAAGCATCTTTTTACTTATACAGTGCCCTATTGTAGTTCTATCTCTGGTATTGAATATTCCTAACTATTCTATTTCTGTATCGTTAAGCCCGGTCATTCTTAGATCCGGTAATACGTTCATTACTGTTTGAGGTAACACTCTGCATGTTGGATTTACTATACCATGAAATTTTAATAGTGCCATGGACCCTGGAGGTGTTAACCCAGAAGCATCTGGTTATGACGCATGGTTCGAAGATATGGATCGCCATATGCATCAATTTGACCTTGCTTTGCTGACTTTGCTCAGTCACGCCATCTCATATGACATCCCCTATGCGTTATGGTGGAGATTATAGTATTCAATTAGTATACAGTTTGAACTAGGTCTTATCCAACTGACAGGGCCAACTTAGGCTTTACGATCAACCTCATTTTTGACAGAGCTTTGGTCTGGGCTTACCCTTATGGGACAATAGCAGTCCTTCGGTGTATAACTATGCTGAATTTGTGGCTGCATTTGAAAGGACTTTTGATTCTCCAGTGAGTGAATGCTGCACAAACTCTCTTAAGAATATAACAGGGTTCTCACTCTGAGGTTCATTTGAATAATCAAGCCTTTGTTTATTTTTTTCTTGAATGGTCCCTTTGATACTTTCTTAGATGAGGTTGCAGCAAGAGACTTGCCAGAAAATATAGAATTGATAATGTAATAATGTATAGATGAACACCTTAGGCATAGGCACAATACTAGAGATAGACCTAAAAAAAAAAATCCAATATTCACTTCATTTGAATCACCTACCGTGGCTATTCCTGAACCTGTGCAGTTGGGGCTTATTAGGTTATCTGTAGTCAACAGTAACAGTACAGGAGAAAGGAGTGCCTTTGTTTATAACGGGGAAAAAGGGACTTCTCCGTTTGACATTGTCTAATAAACCAGAAATATAAGTAACTATGTAAAATAGATTTAAAATGAGAGAGATGGACTAAATAGTGTTCTGGGAATATAAGAGACCTGAAAAAGAAGGCTCTTATACCTGCTCTTTGGTGGAGCTTTAAATATAGATGGAGGGTGGAAACTGGTGTAATGAAACACCATTTTAATTTTTTTAGCAGTTTCCTGTACAAGCTGATTTCTAGTCTGTTGTTGGTCTTTATAACTAAAATAATAAAAATTTGAATGGTTTTAGAGTGAATTGTTTTTTAAAATGAAGGGTGGTTTTTAAATTGAATGGTTTTATAGTCAACAGCCATTGTAAACATAATGGTTTTGGAACAACCATTTAGAAAGATAAAAAATTAAGGGATCCAAT